CAAATCTGAATTTTTAAAATCTGGGTGAACCAGAACAACAACCAGATGAGAAGACTTAATCTCCCTTTTAGGGGGGAAAAAAAAGGCAGCATATCTATTGCAACCAAATCTCTCACCCTTCAGATTTTAAGCAGAGTAGGATATTCCTCAGAAGGACGATGGGGCAATCTACTTCTGTAGTGATACTGCCTCAGAAACCCAAGGAGGTGTCGCTATGAGTCGGGTTCAACTTGATGGCAAATAACAACAACAAGAGCAACAGGAAACAAAGGTGTCCTGCTCAAAGATGGTGCTGACCTAGCTGCTTTGTATGTGTATCACTCTTTACAAAAAAAAAAAAAACCCAAACTCTCTGCCATCAGGTCAATTCTGACTCATAGCAATCCCCTTTGGGTTCCTGAGGCTGTAAATCTTTACATAAGTAGATTGACCCATCTTCCTTCCATGGAGTGGGTTTGAACTTCCAACCTTCTGTTTAGTGGTCAAATGCCTTAGGCACCATGCCACCAAAGTTTCTTGCCAAAAATCCAGTCTCATACACCAGCCTCCTAAAAATTTTCTAGGGCTCTCCATCATTATGCCTCTTCAGAGTCCCTCATTCCAGGGCTTTAACTCATAATCTTTCCAGTCCCAGTTATTGTTCCAGATCATCCAAATATTGAAAATTCAAGTTTTACATCATAGGCCATGACCGAACCAGTTCAAAATCCTGGAATATGAAGGTTTTTGTTTTGTTTTGTTTTGTTTTGTTTTAATCTTGACAAAGGACTTATCATACGAAATGTTATTATAAACTTACAATTGTTACGAGGCACAAGAGCAGAATGGCAAAGTGTGGGAGTTTTTCAGTCAAAGCAGACTTGGCTTTAAATTTCAGCTTTGCTATTAACCTGTTGTGTAATCTCTTTGAACCTTAACATTTAGTTGAGTAAAATGGGGGCAATAATTGCATCTACCTGTCAAGGTTGTGGAAGGATTGAAAGACATGAGGCACACAGCACGTGTAAGTAAGCATCACTCCTATTGGTTCCAGTGTTTTAAAAATATGCTATTATTTGAAATAAAATTTCTAACCAATCAAAGATATTTTATATCATTGGGCAATCTACTTCTGTAAAGATACTGCCTTGGAAACCCAAGGAGGGGGTCGCCATGAGTCAAATTGACTCGATGGCAGTGAGTTTGGTTTTTCAAGTATGTTAGCAAAATGAATTTGACATTCCTGAGCCCACCATTGGCTGGTTGGCAGGAAAGCCAATTACCCCCATACATGGACTGTTTAAAACTCAGTACATTATTACAATCTCTGTGGTAAACAATCTTGCAGTAGAGAAAAAAGAGCCATAGAACTTTTCTTACTTGGTCTTCCAGTTCCATTGCTGAGGGTATATCTCTACTGGAAATGAATAAGTAGTCATTTAGGTTATATGCACACAAAAAAAATCTTGTTACCAGTACTATTTGAAAGAGCAAACACTTTGAAGCCATGTGATCTATTCAATAGTTGGGAATAAGCTCAATAAATGTAGCTGTGGTGAGAAGGCTATGGCCCTGGCATTCTGTCTGGTATGCAGCGGGCGTCCAACAAAGGGTTGTCTTGCTTTTCTTTTTCCTTTGTACTCTAAGCTCAAGGAGCCCTGGCAGTGCAGTGGTTAAGCTCATGACTGCTAACTAAAAAAATTGGCAGTTCAAACCCACAAGGCACTCCATGGGAGAGAGAAGTGGCAGTCCACTTCCGTAAAGATTAGAGCCTTGTAAACTCTATGGGGTCAGGTCTACCCTGTCCTATAGGGTCACCATGAATCAGAATCAACTCAACAGCGGTGAGTTTGGTTTTAAGAATAAATGATGAAACCTTTAAAATATTTGTTATACTAAATTTCTAGAGGCTATACCTTGTAAAAGGCAAAACCAAATCTAACATGTAATTTTCATTGTATTTTAGGATCCAAGTCCTTTTTTGGAAATGTTGTTGTTGTTGTTATGTTGTTGAGTCGGCCCCAACTCATAGCGACCCTCCTTAGGTTTCTGAGACAGTATCACTACAGAAGTAGATTGCCCCATCTTCCTTCCGAAGAGTGGTTGGTGGGTTTGAACCACCAGCCTTCTGGTTAGCAGTAAAATGCCTTAGGCACTATGCTACCAGAGCTCACATGTCTAAAATCATAATGGAAGTCTATGGAGAAAGATGATTTTAATTAGTTTTCTTAAATCACTCATAGCTTTTATGGAATACATAAAACAAAGCTGTAGCCTGCATGAAATATGTCAGCTACAAAAGGACAAATATTGCATGATCTCACAATAAGCAAACATTTAGAAACCACAGATTATTCGTGGTTGTCTGTGGTGGGTAGGAGGAAGAAAGGGGAGTTTTTGCTTATGGGACAGCGAGTTTATGTTAATGATAGCTGAATAATTTGAAGAAAGATAGTGAGAATAGCTATGTAACTTGAAGAATGTAATTCAATGTCACTGAATTACTGAATATAGTAATCAGCATATGTTTTTTTGTGCCTATTTTCATGACAATAAAAAAAAAAGCAACACATAATAACAACAACAAAAAAACACACCAAAAACAAAGCTGTTGTTCCAGTGTTCAGAGGTCTCATGCTCTGCCTCAAACTTCAACACAGCTCCACCCAGACAGACATGATACCTTGATATTAAAAAGAACCAGCTGGCAACTGGGATATTCTAAACATCAATATCATGGAGCAAATGTGGGAAGACAGAAACAAATTTAGTTCCCTTGTGCATGAAAAAGAAAGAATGACTTTTAGTTTCTAGACAACTAAGTCCAAAGGAAGCCAAGAAGGAAAAAGCAAAAGTTGGGCTGAAGATGGTCATCTTGGTTGCTTTCATCAGTAAACACTATTTGGAAAGTAGAAAATGTGACTTTGTCATTTCTTTCTGTTCTAGAGAATCCAATTTGGGTCTATTTCTCTTCTTTTGAGAGTCTGTGCTTAGTTTCAAACTTTTTCCTGGCAATTACATGAAGGAAATAAAAAAGGAGACGTATGATATCACCTGTGCCAGGACGTTCCAAAGCCTAACAGAACATGGCTGCCTGGGCTTTGCCTCTGTGGCCTAATTCATTTCACAATAAGGGAAACCACATTCTCTCAAAATAAGGCAAATAAGGAGCCATAAGCCCCATTATACACATGTTTACAAATATGGGTAGGCCGTCTATCTTTATAAAGGAGCTCTAGTGGTGCAGTGGTGAAAGCATTTGGCTGCTAAACAAAAGGCCGGTGATTTGAATCCACCAGCTGCCATGTGGAAGAAAGATGAGGCAGTCTGCTTCCATAAAGATTTATAGCCCTGGAAACCCAATGGGATAGTTCTACTCTGTCCTTCAGGGTCACCGTGAATCAGAATCGACTTGATGGCAGTGGGTTGAGTTGAATTTGTTGGTCTATCCTTATTAACTGAAGTAGACTTCAGGAAAAGCAAATCTATATATACTAACCAGTGATTGTAAACCTCTCCTGTGTCACAGAGCCCTCTGAAAATCAGCTGACAAATATGGACTCCCTCCCTGGAAAAATGCACAAACTCACATACATACATACACTTCATATACATCTAATACACAAATAGTTTTGCACACTATTTTATGGATTGTGAACTCCCTGAAGTTGGGACGCACTCCCCATGTTAAGAATTTCTGCAGATATTGTTTTCAAAAACAAAAGCTGAAGATTAGCCAGGTAGTTGAGGCCAAAAAAGACAACACATAGAGTCGTCATAAGTGGGAACAGACTTGATGGCAACTTGTTGGTTGTCTTTTTGGCTTTTTAATGGCATTTTGTTTTCAGCAGTAGATTGCAAGGACTTTCTTCAAAATCACATCTGAGTGGATTCAAACCTCCACTCTTTCAGTAAGCATATGAGCACATTAAGCATTTGTACCACTGAGGGGCTTCTAAAAGAGACAATTATTCCTCAGTTAGGAACTCTGGTGGCACAGTAGTTAAAGCATTTGGCTGCTTATCAGAAGTTCAGTGGTTCAAAACCACCAGCTACTCCACAGGAGAAAGATGTGGTAGTCTGCTTCCATAAAGATTTATAGCCTTGGAAACCCAATGAGGCAGTTCTACTCTGCCATATAGGGTTATAATGAATAGGAATCAACTCAATGGCACGGGGTTTTGGGTTTTTTGATCCTCAGTTAATCAGGTAAAATTACAGAAGTTCAAGACCTGAAGATGAAGTAGAGATCTATGCTTCAATTGTTTTCAAAAGTCAATTGTAGTTGGTTTTTTTTTTTAAAAAAAAGAGGGAGACAAGGTTTGCTGGTCTGATAGAGCCTGGTAGAACCACTGAAACAGTCCCTAGCTGCCCTTCAGGTCTGGAATTAAACCCACACCTGTGGCTTCCAGCCAAACAAAAGACAGGCATATGAGGTAAACATTTACCTGATGTCAATACACTCCTTGGAGAGAACAATCATGGGAGAAAGAAGGGCTGTTTATGCACAGGGAGACAGTTCAGGGGGCAGGAGTGCATGGAGGGATGGACACAGGGAAGAGGTAACTATCAGGAAGAAGCGGGAGGAGAGCTGTTGCATTGGGATAAATTGTAGTCGATGTCATGAGACAACATGTGTGTGAACTGCTGTATGTAAAGTGAATTTGCTCTGTAAACTTTCACCCAAATCACAATTTAAAAAAAAGGCAATTGTAGTTTTTTGTTTACTAGTAGCAATGAAACTCTGTTTTCAAACGAGATCTTCTGTAGAGTGCAAATATTTAAAACAGATAAAATAAAGCTGTTCTATTGATAAAGGTATTGAGGGCTGGCTTGCCATCCTTTCAGCTATACCACTGGTGGTGCCTTGACTCCATGAAAGACAACTGAAAGCCACTGACTTGTGCCCATTCCACTGGTTCCTGGAGGTGCTTTTGGGCCCCTTGTGTTTAGTCACTGTCAGTGTGCCCTGTTACTCCAAAAGAACTGTTAAGGTAAGAACTTTAACACCCAGAACCCACCTATTTCTTGGCCAAGTTGGGAGGACTTCAGAGATCCTGCTGAAGAGACAACAGCGCACTTGCCCCATGGGCCAGCCTTGGTCTTGATGGTTTCCTTGGGCAGGTAACCCTCCCACTCAGATGTGTTGAAGGGAAAATCTGTGGAATCTACCATGGATACATTCACGTGGTCCCGGAGGTGGCACCGCAGGGCTTCTGCACTAAACTTGACACCTGGCCCTGGTCCCTTATAGGATACTTTGTACTTGTTCATGTTCAGATAATTTTTCCTGATATTCTGCAGTCTGGAGGGGAGGTTTTTGGAAGAGCTGTCCTTGTTCCACACCTGGAAGGAGGGCTCTTGCTTGGCCTTGGCTGAGCCCCTGGTGCTGCTGAGGGCCTGGTTGTTCTTGCGGAGGTCCTGGGCGTTGACTGAAGACTGAGGACTAGATCTCACGGCCAGTTTCTCCACACCTGTCACCACCTGGAATTCTTCAGTTTCCAATTTAAGGGAATCATAATAACTCCCCTTCTTCCTTTCCTTCCACACACAGATGATTGCAAACAGGAAAAAGGCCAGGACACAGTAGCTGAGCTTTTTCCTCAGTATGATGTGAATCATAATGAAAGATGGGTTCAGGGAAGCCACTCCGTTCTAAGCAGGAAAATAGGCCTAAAAAAAGTGAGAGAAGAAGAAGAGGGAAAAAAAAAAAAAAAGTGATGAAAAGAAAATCCAAAAGTGGTGATTGGCATCAGGCTGGCTGATGAGCCAACCAATGATTTAAAGTGAGGAGACCAAAACTCTACTCTTAGACTATCTCCTACCAGCTTCTGTAAGCAATTCTCAAAAAAAAAAAAAAATTCAACCTCAGTTTGGACCTTGAATGTAGAGAGCAGTCCTTATGACAGCCCTTCCTTCTTGAGCCATAAACACGTTATGTGTTCTTCCACTATTCTCTTTTACGTTCTGAATCTTAGTTTTGCACTTTGTTGGTCTAGCTCTCTGATTGCACTCTGCACTTTTGAGGTCAGCAACCTCATCCTACACACTGTTCGGTTCTTAAGTAAGACCTTGCACTGTTAAACAAATGCATCCAAGATCGAAAAAACAGAATGAAAAGAAAGAGCAGGCTGACTGGTCTATTTCACACAAACCAAACCTCCCTAAAACCTTAAGAAGGCCAACACCCTTTAAAATAGCCAGAAAGAGACCTCTCACCATAGATGATGCCATAGATTCACGGTGCACCTCTCTAAAGCTGTGATGTTAGAATCCTGCATGAGAGGACTAAGGTTCACTTCACAATACTCAGCTTTATGTAGTGCTCTGCAAGAGCACTATCAGGAGACAGAAAGCTGACTCACCTCATGGTTGAGGATGGGACATCTTGGTAAGATAGCTAACACATGATCAATCAAGGTACAAAAACAAAAATTCACTGAGAAAAGTATATGTTATTTCATCTACTTTCACCATTACCAGGGCCACCATGACACCTAACTCCAGGAAGCACCATTCACATCAGGGTCTAATATGAAGGATATCTCTTGAGCTGTGCAGATGGGCCCTGACCAGAACTAGCTATGAGAGTGTATTAATCTCCATTTTTTATAGATTTGCAGCACAGGGCTCTGGAGGAAAGGGAAAGGCCCAGGACACCAGAGCTGCATTCAAATACAAGGACACTTGATTCCATAAGCTTGTTCTTTGTACTATGCCACAGGTGGAACTGCTGAAATTTCTGGAAAATGTGTCTTGCTAAGCAAATAGAGACTGGATAGTTCTCTTTATATCTAGGTAAAGACCTAGATTGTTTTCTCAGTATTAATTGTGTAACTGAGGGATAGATAGAGGCACTTTGAACTCAAACAGTTTCAGTATCCTTTGGAAAACATTACATCTGTGTATTGTTTTGCCACTCCTGAGGCCCTTTCACATTAATTAGATTCTATGAAACCAAGTACAGCCCTGTGAGATAGGCAAAGATTTTATTGGCACCATTCCTAGCTGAAGAAAGGGATGCCTTGTCAATGTAAGCAATTTTCAAAGTTGCGCAACTTAGAAATGAGAGAATTGGGACTTGACTTTTATGTATATAGGTGAAAGGAGACTGGGGGATGGGACCCAGATTCATTTATTCTGGAGCTGAGGCTCAGAGATGGCATTTGGCAGACCTGTCACAGTTTCTGTCAATGCTTATTCTCCAAGGTTGGGTTTCCTAGCAAAGAAGAATTCCTCCAAATAGCCAGGCCACACGACAATTGTGTACCCCCTCAGATAACTTAAGCTTTTGGGGCCTATACCCCATTATGGGCTCAGAGCACTCACTTTTAGCCTCATATTAGGGCTCATGTCCTCATCATCACTTTCTTTTAACACTCCAAGCCTGCCAGATGGGTGGAGTTTCTGCTCCTAGGCTCTTTGAATTTTAAGGCATTTTCTCAGCTCTCAAGGTGTACTAATGACTTAGGCTAAAGTTTTATCTAAACAGGCCAACTTAAGGAAAGGAGTTATAAACTTATCTCCACAAATTCTTTGAATTTTCCTATCACACCACATTGACTTCTTATGCCTTTTGGCCTTTTCATTGTTTCACTCTTTTCCCTTGTCCATTTGTCTGTCCAGTCAGACAGCATTATCTTTCTACTCTGACCACCAGTGGAGTCCACGTCCCCTTCAGCACTTTCTTCTTCCTCAGAGATTCAAGTGCTTTGTAGTGCTTGCTTCTCATGCCTGACTCCACTGCGAGATCGGAACTCCTGGTATGCTTTCTAAAACCCCAGTACCCAGTTCAGTGTCTCCAACCGAGTGAAGACTCAGTAAGTTAGTGATGACTGAATAAATATAACCATATCATTGAATTCCAACAACATCTGTGAGCTTCAAGAACAAGAATACAATAACAACTCACATTATTACCTGCAGAGACTAAGTAAGGCAACACTGAACCAACAGAAAGTAAGGATCTTGCTCTGATCTGCAAATCATTGCATGCTCAGTACTAAAAAGCCTACCACTTGGCATATAGTAGATACTCAAAACCAGTTGGGTGAATGATAGAATAATTTCAAATCTAATATTTATAGTTTAGAGAAATGAGCAAACTATCTATCCCACCTCTACCTTCTTGATTCAGAGGGTAAAGAAGATTTAAAAAAAAAAAAAAACCTTGAAGAAAATGGCAAAGCTATAGCCAGACATTGAAACTCTCTTTGCTGGCAACTCCACCATCCCATTTTTTATGCAGGAATGTATCCCTCTGCTCCCTCCATAGCTCATGCCTCTGGGTTTCCCCTACCTGCTGTTGGCAGCTGGCTATTCTCCCTTTGACTGCAGGCCCTCCAGGTCTTCAGGAACTGGTGGTCTTCTCCATGGAAGGGATGTTTGCTTTATTGGGTCTGGGGGCCAAGGCTCATTCTTTTCAGGACAATCAAAAATCATCTGCAATGGAAAAAAAGAAGTGAGCTCTGTTTTCCAGCAGGGGCAGGGTTAAACATTAACAAGATGGATAGGGACATATTTCGGCTGGTCTCTAACACTGGCTCTGGCCCAGGCTATGGCACAACCCAAGTACACCCTGAGGGTTCAAAAAAGGAAAGAGACAAGAGCCTATTATAAGAGCAAAGCTCTGAATCCATGACCAGCACAGGGAAATAGACCAATGATAGATAAGAATGCATGATAAAGCAGGCACCAGGGACCAATCTGGAAATAAAGGAATTTTTTTACCCTATTTTTTTTTTTTTTGCAAATAGCATACCCATGTGTGTAACACACACATATACACACACATATAACACCCAGAAATAATGAAATTAAGTGGAAAAGTTCTCACATAGCGCACCCATCCATGTCTTGTGACATTTCCAGAAATGAGTTTTGGCTTCATTCACCTTCATTCAATAGTCTGAAAATATTATTTTTGATCATATTTGTATAATAAAGGTATAAGCCACAGTCAAGAAGTCATGGATTAAGTTTTGTGTTGTTGTTGCTGTTAGGTGTCATTGAGTCATCTCTGAGTCATAGAGACCCTATGTACAGCAGAATGAAACACTGCCCGGTCCTGTGTCAGCCCCACGATCCTCACTATACCTGAGCCCATCTTGCAGCATTGTGTCAATCTATCTTCTTGAGGGCCTTCCCCTTTTTCATTGACCCTCCATTTTACCAAGTTTTGGAGTGCCTCAGTAATTGGAAAATAAACAACTGAAATTGTGTTTGCTCTGGGGCAGTTCATGGTCAGGCCTGGCAATGGTGGAGTCCCTTGTAACCAAGGAGTCCCTTGCCTAGATACATGGCACTGGAGATGGCTGGAGGTCTGGGCAGAGGGCTATGCATGGGGCTGCCACAGTCCAAGCACAGTTTGGTCCCATGGTAGATGGGAGATGTTGCCCGTGGTGTCAGCCCCACATGAAGCCGGGCAGCAAGACAGTGCAGGCACAAGCACACACTCTCCTGGCCCCACAGGGCTCCTGGGTGGCCAGTCAGACTCATTTCATCTGTGCAAGAGATGTGTGACCCCTCTGTACCCCTGGCTCTCACACTTGACCAGCATGGATGGGAGATTCAAATGCCCTAAGTAGGGCAGCTGCCAGGCAGATGGCAGACCGGAATGTACATGGCTGTGGCACACCAGCTTCAGCTGCCTAAAGTACACAGACTTACACACTCCTTGGGATAGGACCGGCAGCCCTGACGAAGGCTATTTCCAGGATGGAAAAAGTGATTTTTTCCTACTTTGGAGAAAGTGGTTTGAGGAGCAGGAAAGGAATCCTGCCAGGAGAGTGGTTGCTTTATAAACCTGAGGGTAGGCTGGTAAGGGTCTGCTGCTGAGAACCAAACCTCCATGTCAGCAGGTACCAAGTCAAGGACTTAACATTAAATTCATTAGACCAGAAAAAAAAAGAAATTGAAGTCAGCAACATGTAAAAAATATTGGTATAGTGTACTTATAAAATGACGCATGGGGCTTGTGTGGTACACAAAAACATGTATCTCATGTATTTATTTGTGCAAAATACAGTAACCAATGATCTTGGAAGAGATAAAGAGAGAGCAACTTGAGAGGAGAAATTAAGTTCATATGCCAAAATGCATCAGGTTTTCAAAAGAATTATTTAAAAAAAAAAAAATTTAACATGTGACTGTTCAATTGATAGAATGTTAATAGAATGAAGATGGAAAAAACTACACATAGCACCCTATCTAATTTGAAAATTCTTCGCCAGTTCTTTCATTGCAGCTTTGACTTCTTCCTTCATTACCATTTGTTCTAGATCATATGCCACTTCCTGAAATGGACGAAGATTGATCAGTTATTTTTGGTACAGTGACTCTGTGTATTCCTGCCATCTTCTCTTGATGTTTCCTGCATCATTCAGTATTTTGCCCATAGAATCTCTCAATATTGCACCTTGAGGCTTAAAGTTTTTCTGATTCAGTTCTTTCAGTTTGAGAAATGCCAAGCGTGTTCTTCCCTTTTGGTTTTCAGATTCCAGGTCTTTGCACATTTCATTATAGTAATTGGCTTTGTCTACTCGAACTGCTCTTTGAAATCTTCTGTTCAGCCCTTTTACCTTTTCATTTCTTCCATTTGCTTTAGCTATTCTCCGCTCAAGGGCAAAGTTCAGCCCCAGGGTTACAGGTAAGGAATAAAGAGTATGAAATTT